TTTTAATTAACCAATTAGAATACAAAGCCTCAGCTTCTAGGATCACGGTAGAGATCGCTGGGCTACCCCCTTCACACTATAAAAAGCCATTTTTCCCCATTAAAACCAGTTCTTTTGACGATTTTAGAATGCACAAAATCTACGACACTCTACTCAAGATTTCACTCTCCGGGACTTAGTCGATTTTTTTAATTAATTTGGACTTAGAATATTTTTCAATTTAAAAAACACTTAGTCGATTTTTTAATTAATTTGGACTTAGAATATTTTTCTTTAAAACTAAATGACACTTAGAAATTTTAAAGTGAATTTTGTTTTGGTGAATCTTTTAATTTAATTTAATTTGTTCAATCATTAATAATATTTTATTTTTCTTATTGTGGAAATAAATATCAAATAATATTTTAAACATTATATCTTATTAAAATTATTTTATTTTAATAATAAACCCAACCTAATTTTAGATTTTTATTTAATTATAAAAATTTATTGTGAGCTTTTCTTATTGGGTAGCTAGTCTCGTTACTAATGTCTTTGTTTTAACAAACATCGCGCCGGCAGACAGAGCTAAAGGTCACAATCTTCTCAATTTAAATTGAGATTTAAATTTATTTAATGGTAATTTTATTTGACTAAGTGTATTGCAATCCTATACTTATTGGGTAGCTAGTTTCGTTACTAATGTCTTTGTTTTAACAAACATCGCGCCGGCAGACAGAGTAAAGGTTGCAAGTAAACATTATTCAAAAATTAGGTACATTAGGTTAGAATATATTTGTAAGCCTATGCGTATTGGGTAGCTAGTCTCGTTACTAATGTCTTTGTTTTAATAAACATCGCGCCGGCAGACAGCGTAAAGAAACTTACAAATATATTTTTAGTGTTTAATTTTTGTCTTGGTTATTATTGTGCCGCATCCTTTCAAGGTGCTTCATTTTAGCACCGGGACACATTGGGCCACCACAATTCTGCCTTGATAAAATTTTTTACATAGATATAGATATTTCTGAATCTTGTTTTGGCCAGGCCAGAGGAAAATTTAAGAAATATTGGTATCGATCTCTCAATAAAATATACTCTCTAAAAAAAAAAAAAAATACTTATTCAACAGACGTAAAAAAAAAATCAATAAGTAAAAAATTAAAATTGTATTTATAATAAAATACAGAGTGTTTAGAATCAATCACAAGTAAGACCAGTTGTAGACTTTGTGTAATTAAATCATATTATTTAAAGTCTTGAATCGTTTTATAATTAATTACATAGACTATGTTACACATAGTGTAAATCGTATACGTAGTGCGTTTAATACGGAAATCAACACTGGATTACTTAAAATATTATTATATCACACAGGACGTAAGGAAAGTACAATTTAACTTATGCTTTCGAACTTCCAACAATCTATTGCGTGATAAACCATCAATAATTAATGAGAGAAATAATTAATAAAAAAAAATTGAAGACAATTAAATCTACATTAAAATTCCAAAAACTCATAACAAATAATGATAACAATAATCTATTAGTATCCCCTAATTTCTTTTTATATTTAACCTACGCCTTCTCATTTTTATACATCTAATTTTTCTTTTTCTATTCTTTCTTTTTATTTTTGGTTTATTACAAAACCAAGGCACCATACAGAATCATAAGTTTAATCACTAAAGTTTATAGCCAATATATAATTCTTGATTTAGCTCTACTGCATGTCCACAATGTGGCCATGGCTTGTTTTTCTTTTATCTCAATATGTAATTTCCATCTTAGCTTACTGTCTAAGATAATACTTAAGTATTTCACCTCTCACTTAAAGCCAATTTTTTGTCCATTCAGGCAAAATGTACCAAGACTGTCTAGTCCTGTTCTTCTCCTGGTAAACATTACTACTTCTGCTTTATTTGGATTAATAACTAGGCTGTTCTTACTACAACACATGTATATAGTGTTCAGTCTTTGCTGTGGTAAGTCTATAATTTTATCTGGGAATTTACCCACTACTACTATAGCTAATTTATCCGCATAGTCTTGTGTATAACACTATTCGTTTAAATCATTAATAAGTGAATCTAAAACGAGACACCCTATCAAGGGAAATAGAACCCCTTCTTGTAGGCATCTATGTTTAAAACTTTTGATTACTTTGGTTTTATTAAGCTATACCAATATGAAGCGTTCCTTAAGCAAAAGATGGTTTCTATCCACTTAATAATAAGTCGTTCTATTCTATGCTATTGTGCAAATTTACCCATATCGGGTTGTAAGCAATGATTTGGATTACAGCATCGTCCAAGGTTTTATTTTGTTGACATTTTCAGTGAGACACTTAAATGACATCTCTTGGGATGAACTGATCACAAGTGCTCCGTCAATGAGCCTAGTGTCTTCAAACTTTGGTACATTTATTACATCAGTACTCCATAGTATCAAGTCTCCAACACAAGACTCATTGAGTTGCCCTTGTTCAGTGGTCAACTTATTAGTAGGATAACCCACGAGGACTAGTAACACTATTTTATCGTCGGATACCATATCCTTGTAGGTTTTTACCTAACAGGTCTTCTTCACCAGAGGTTCTGGTCTCTTAGTTATCGATACAGACTTTTCTAAGTCATTGGTTCCCTTATTCTTTCCTTTCAGTTGGTTCTTCTTTCTCTCTGTTTTCGTGTTTTCTCTTCACTTGCACACTGACTCGCGCTATGTTCCTTAGGCTTAAATTTAAGACCTTCGATCCTATCAGCAACTGCTCCCATTTGGGCTAGCAAATCATAATTTGCCTCTGCTGACATCATCTCTGTGCTAATAGACGGTTCACTAAATGTCCCGTTTTTCACAATAAGATTTTCAATTTCAACGATTCTTCTACGAAAAACTGTCAATTCACGTTCTTGTTCTGACAGATTGTCCGTAAGATCCCTGTTCATCCCTTGTTCGTTGTTTTGTGGTTTTCTATGTTTTTATCCATATAGTTCCCACGAGTAGTCAAGAAATATTGGTCCATCACACTAGAGCTCGATACTGTGATTAGGCTGTATCTCTATGAAGCGCCAGATGCCTGTGAGGATCCCAATGATCACTTTACCTTTCGGCTAACTACTCTGTGACAAGTTAGCAACCCTTTTACTTGGTATGGCTGGGTTAGAGGGCCTATTCGCTGTTAACAAGCAGGTATATCCAGGCCCACCGGTCTCAACTAAACAAAGTCATGACTGGCTAAAAGCAGTGGTACGTGTTGCCAGCCCCACTGAGTTAACTATGGTCCGCGATGTTGTTAAAACAGTAATCCTTACGAATCTCCTGCAGGATAAAATGCTAATAACTTCTGAAGTACTTGCTCAAACGTTGTTATCAACCAGTTATTTTCTTAAATAGATCGTTTTCTATTTTATGAGTTAGTTAAATAATCCATTAAAAAAAAGTTTGTATCCATCTAAGAGATAAGTTAATCATTTATTAAATCGAGAGATACTACTTTACAAAAACAAAAAACATATATTTAACATAATTATTTTAAAAAAAATTTCGATTTTGTTAATATACAGTGTTCCTCCTAATTTCAAAAAAGCACGTGTCTTGTTGATAACGAAATAATAATAATTATTATATATATAGTGTACACAAACTGTATTGAATTTTTAGATTTGTACCTACAATAGCAAAAAATATATACAAATATATAAAAATAATTTTCGTCAACGTCAACGCGAACTGTAATAGTGCTCTATAAAGATATTGGTTATTTATACCTGATAAAATGGTCAATACAATAATCCAAATATACCAATGAAAAGTAGAGATTCTAACGGTTAACTACATATAAAAAACACAACAATGACTGGAGCAGTGAAACGTTTCAACGTTTGTACTCTTTTAAGTTTACATTACTCAACTAATAATACAAAATCAGAACACAATTTTGCCTAAATAATTAACTTATTTTTTGTTTTAATTTAAAAGAAACAAATATATATATACTAAATAATAATCAGTCCTTTTTTAAGAACTAATTAATTTAGGTAAACAGAAAATTATAATCCTTTGGATCACGGATGGTAACGCGTTGTTGCGAGCACCATTGCAAAGGATTTAAGGGAATATTTGGAGAATCCAGTAATCTTGATCACAGTTGATAACACGAAGGTTATGATCACCGTTAAAGATTAACTAACTTTTTTTAGAAGAGAATTTTAATATATAAAATTTTGAGCACGGTTGGTAACAATAAATTAATGTCGTTACGAGTACCGTTGAAAATTCTATATATTAAAAGAATAAGATTTTGGGAAATAAATAAACAGAAACTTACCTAGTGGAGAGGTGTATATACAAAGTTAAACTAGTAGGCTATAAATATCGCGAAAACTAAATTAATTAAAATTTGATACAGAGATAATAAAAGATAATTAAAAAAGCAGTAAGAAAGAACCTTATACCACCCACCACCACTTGGGTAGTGTACATTGATTGTTTACTGATTATTTATTTTTAATATTTTGTAATAAATAAATGTGCATTTTTATATCTTATTTAAATTGCGAGTTCCCGTTTGGATTGATATGTAACATAAAAAGGTTTACAAGCATTATCTATACAGGGTGTTCAGTAAGTCAGGAAACGGGTATCTATTGTTCTCATTGTTTGTAACAATGAGAACAATAGATACCCGTTTCCTGACTTACTGAACACCCTGTATAATTAAATAAAAAATACATTATGTCATATTCTTTTGAACAAAAGTTAACAAACATGACTATCCAACGGACTTACTTGTAACTGAAAAAAACGGCAATATAGCTGTAGCGTAACGCTACAGCACTCAACGTGTTTATATGTAAAAATAACTTTTGATGTTACGATTTAAATAAAATACCATAGGAAGTTATCAAAAATAAAAATAAACTTATAATAATTACAATAGTATAATTCAAAATTGATGGTAATATACTTTCAAAACTTGCACTAATCACTCCTTTAATTAATGTGATTTTTGTTTTTAACAGGGTCCTTTGTGGAATAAAGTTCGAGGATCAGATTTAGCATATTCCTGTGATATTTTTCTAAAGCTAGATGAAGGAAAGATTTCCTTAAGTTTTTACCGTTCGGTGAATGTACCAGCTGCTTATCAAGCTATTAAATCAGTAATAGTATGTAGAATTTAAAACATTAATGTTTAAAATTAATAAAAATATATTATTATGAAAATGTATTATTATAAAAATGTCAGTGGCACAATCAAATTTTACTTTTTTTTACCTGAATGTGGTATAACAAGAAGTAATAGTGGACTTGAAAACATTTTTATCTTTAAGTTCAATATAACTTTTATATGTTACTAATTACTATCACCAACTCTTCATATACATGTGTTATTTTCAAATATAAGTAATAACATATTCGAATAATTTCTAACTTCTCAGCGGCCTTGTATACTACTGGTGGTATATTCACTATGAAAAAAGTATTAAAATTATATGAACTCTTAGTTAATCCGAAACCTTAATAATTAATTTTAGTTGTTATAAATTAATCTTTAATCAATTAGTTTTATAGAAAATATTTCTTGTTAAATTTTTCTATAATTTTAGGACGAACATTTATCTAATGGATTTTCTTGGGATCAAACACTTTTTGAATCAGCAAAATCTTCTACTATATTTGACATAGTTAATAGACAGAATACAATTGCCATATCAAATATGGATTCAATTATGTTTTACTTCCGAAATTTAACACAAACTTATAACCAGTAATATTTTATTTATTAGAATGAAATATTTGAAAAAAAAAGGTATTTCTTTAGGGACTTAGTAAAAAAAATATCATTACTAAAACTTGAAGATCTTCCTGAAATTGGCAGAAAGTATGTGATGCCATTATTTAATCCACAATCTACCTTAACTGTAATGGTATGTCCTCCTACAATAGTTGAAGAAACAGCTAATGAATTTGAAAAGTAATATTTTAAATGATTATTAGGGTGAAGTTGTGTAAATATAAACAAATGGAATAATTGTTAATTCTTTTTTTTTTTTTAAATATTTAACAGATTTTATTTTAGATTGATAAGTTATGTTCTTCATTTGTGTTGCGATCATATTAAATTAAGTTCGGAGTAAAAACTTGTGAATTTATCTAAAAAAAATGCAAATACCATTACTTCAATCGTTTACAATTACACCACTTCACCAAAATTATATAAATAACAATTTGCTAATGAAAATATTTAAAATTTCAGAATTGGTATTAAAATGAATGTATACAAGTCTTTAGATGAAAGTTTTCTAAATAACTAACAGAGTACTTGGGTAGAATACTTTTTTAAATAACTCTAAAAGTACGTTTTTGAATTATTACATATTTTATTTATTAAATTATAAACATAACTCAAACCAAAACAATCAAAGTAAATGTCAAAAAATTACTAAATATTCGTATTTTGCATTATAAAATTATTTTTTTGCAAAGAATTTCTAAATATGTTATATAATACAAAACCACCGAATACTTACACCCAAAAAAGTATTTCTAGGGTATTCAGTAAAGTATTCTGTTCAAGTATAACTAACTGATAATTATCAGTTAATCTTGTTAGTCATATATATTTATCGTTTTATTAATTTTGATATATTAATATATATGTATAAATTTATACTTCAAAAACTTTTGGTATAGTTTTAATATATTAATTACCTTATATCCATGTTTACAATATCAATTAAAAAATAATTTTTAATAACTCTGTTGCATCTATTAACTGTATAATTAAAAAGTATAATTCACAGTATTAATAAAGTGTATTTTATTATCAAAGCTACATATTAGAGAGACTAAATTTGATGACATATTACTTATCAGCACATTACATACAAATTGATAATACAAAAACCAATAATTTAAACTCCTCCTAAATTTATACATAATTAAATTAAAATATAAAATAAATAATTTAAACACTAAGCAACAAATTAAAAAAATATGTTTTTAGGTCGCGTGATTATTTTATTGTATTTTGTATTTTGTCAAACATTGTTGGTATTCGTCATGAATTTTGATTATGTAATCGTCCTTACCTATGTGCCTTTTTAAATGTGAATTTTAAATTTACCATCTTCCCATTTTAGTGTCCATTCAGTCGCTGAGAAAATCAACTTCCTTTCTTTAGTAATTTTTTCTAACTTATTATTTTCTCGATCGTCCAACCAACGAATAATTTGTTTTACTATTTCTTAAATTCTGTTATTATAGTTTTATATAAATAAAGTATCTTTAACACCTTTGGTGTGATTATTAATTTTCTCAGTGTCGTTTATTATTTATAAGTGTTTAGAAACATAATCTAAATTGCATACAGCCTCCAAAAATTAACTTAAATTATCTACCATAAAAATCTACAATAAAAACAAGAGTACATAAAATTTAAAATCAACTTTCTTACATATTGTTGCGTATTTTATATTTTAAACTAACAAAGCTGTTTAAATAAATTATAAAAATTATTTTTTATGATTAATAATATTTTTCAGAAAAAATTAAAAATTATTTTTCGTCGTTATTGAAAATTGTTTTATTTAATTTTACTATTAATTATAAATATTTATGTAGAATACCTTCACGTTTTTTATTTAAATAATGAAGATATATTTCTACTCTTATATAATTCTTTTATACATCAGTAAACCCCACAATTGGGGTTACTTTAGGAATACTAATAATAATCCTCGATCGAGAGGGTGAGGCTGTACAGTCACTTCCTTGAAATAAATTTTCCATTTTCTCTTGCTCCAACTCTGGAGCGAAAGATACTGCAGAGATAAATAAAATGATACTTGAAAATTTACTTGTATTAATAAATGGTTTTATAAAATAGGTTTTTAATAAATATATTAAATCACCTATACAGTGGTGCCGCAACAGGGGGACAGGGAGGCAGTTATCCTTTGGTAAAAATAAGAGGGGGACAAAAGTATCATTATGCCCCCCCCCCAATAGAATCTGACAAAAAGAAAAATTACAATGAATCTGGAAATTACCATACTTAATTATTTAGCTATTCAGATTTTAGGATTAAAAATTGTTAATGAATTTACCTAACACCAGTTGAGTATTAAAAAACGGTAGCATAAATTGTTGAACAAAGAATCACACTCAGTGGTTAGCACCATCTCCTAAATACCTGCGATCCTTGCTCTCATTATTAACTATTCAGCTAATTAGCTATTAAATGATGCAGCTATATGGCCTTTAAACGCTTGGACTGTGTCATCGTTTCAAAATGTATCTGCGTTTGGATCGCTCTAACCGTTCGCTTATCGTTTTAAACATCGTAATGTAAATAAAATTATTCAACCAATAAAGTATTGATATACTTATAGCCAAAATTGTCAAAAATATACATATTTAATAAGCCATCGACTTTTACGAATTAAATACTAACACTATAAAATAATACTAGATAAGGTTTCTAAAAACTATTTAAAATTAATTCTACATACAATAAATAATACTCATATAATTTTTCTATAAACCATGTAAAATTAAAATGTTACATAAATTATATACTTTCTTGTCTTTTTAAAATAATAAAGTAAAATAAATACAGATATGTAAAGAAAAAATGTGTTCCAACCTATAGGCAAATCATAATGTTTTACCCCTTTAAATTAAAATAGGCAACTTAAATAAAACATGCCTCTCACTACTACGACAGTTAACGGAACTTTTGCTGGACGAAACATGATACGATTAATACATCTAATGTGTTTCGCCAATCTACGTGAGATAGCGCACGATGTACATGAAATCGCGGCACCTCAGTACGCACAGCCAGCAGATTGACAGTGATCAGTAGTGATGGGAAATTTGATTCGATCAGATGAATCAACTCTTTCGAATCAGATCATTTAAATGAATCGATTCTTTGAATCAATTCAGTGATTCAAACAATAATTATTCATATTGAACTTAATTAAGAGAAAAATGTTTTATCATGATAATGTTTAGACACTAAAAGATCAAATAGTTATACAACGATTTTTATGATCATTATTTTTTTTGATAGTAAATAGTAACAGTTGCTTGTTGGTAATTTGGCGGGGCCAGATATAACATTTTTTTATTATGCATTATTTTTTAAATTCCGTTAAAAATATTCCTAGTCAGAAAAGTGGTCTGATGTTTTCTCGCTTATCCATTTTTTGGTTCGAACTAATGGTATTTAGAAAATCAGAATTGTTTGCTATAACAATGATAACGTATATCATGGTGTATTTAGGTGTGCTTTTATTGCGAGATAAGCTAAATTTCAGTGTTACCCATTAACTGATTCTTCTACCACACTAAATCACTTCAATCGAATCATCTGGGGAATCAATTCATTCGTAAATTACTCATCCCTGCTTAGTACATACTAAAATATCAGTGTTACCCATGAACCGATTCTTTTTACCACGCTGAATCAATTCAATAAAATATAGTTGTCGAATCGATTCACTGAATCGATTCATTCGTGAATTACTCATCCCTAGTGATCAGGTAAATCGAACTCTCGCGCGCCATTGCAGATATTGCCGTAAAAAACACTTGAATAAAAATAGACGGTCGATATCGGAAATCGGCTCGAGGAATTAGATCTAACCAGACGCAGTTAGATATAACACGCGACTCAAATACATCTGCCTTATTAGCACATACCTCCTTAAATAATTACACTGCGGTTTTTAACGATACTACGGGTCCTAGTCGAAAACGACATTCTGTTGAAAGTCCCGGCTCCTATCGTACTGAGATCGCATCCGCACCCCCTTTGAAAAGCAGGACATTATTGATGATATAGTAAACGACATGTAGGCACAGGGGATAATAAAACCTAATGAATTGCCATGTTCAGCACCTATAGTGTCAGCCAAAAATATAGGCGAGGCTTTTAATTTATGCATAGACTACTAACGATTAAACGAAGTAACCTTTTCGGATGCGTACTCCATACCCAACCTGAACGACATTATCAGAAATATGACGGGGGCAAAAATATACCCGATTTTCGACTTAAATTGTGTTATTGGCAATGATCATTAAATCAGAACGTCTCTAAATTAGCGGCGTTTAGAACTAGAAGAGACTTATTTTAATTTCGCGTACTACCGTTTAACACAGGCGTGGTATTACCCTCACACTGGTATCTGTGTATCAATTCGTCTGGATATTAACCGGCGGCACATACATAAATATAGATGAACAGCCGCCGGCCGCCAACCGGTATCTGTTTAATACTTTCACGGTCGTGGTAACACTCTTGTAGTTTATCATAGTGAATTGTGTTTATTTTTTTTTTTTTTAATATATTTAATTTTTAATATTGTAATAAAATTAATTTTGATAAAATTATACTTATTTTAAGTTTGTTTTGCTTATTTCGTTGTCGTTCCTTACCGCTACCATGACACGTTTAGACTCAAAAATTCCCATATGACGTTCGTAAAACTTATGAACGTGGTATTTAGAGGATATTTAGATGACTTCGTTGAAGTTTACTTGGACTACATTATCATTTATTCAAATAGTGTCTAGAAAATCATTTAGACCATTTAGGCAAAGTTCTAGAGCGAGGGAGATTATCGTTTTTGCCAAACTGATCTTCTACCTGTCTATCTACTAAAAAATTTGAGAACCATTTAATTTTATTCATGGGTCTCCACGAGCCAGTATCGGTTTTAGCGTATGGGTAGATTAGGTAGATGCCAGTACCAAAATGTTTGGCATTTATTGAATGTTACGTTCAGGTCAGTATTTAAGATTTTTACGTGTGGTTAATGAACAAAATAAAGTAATTTTTTGTCCCATCACTATCAAATGACTATCAACCTTAAAAAATATCTAATACGTGTTATAATATAATAAAAAATAGATCTATAAATTTTTCGATAGTTGCTGAAAATTAATTTCACAAATTCAATTTGGCTAATTTCATTTTTATTAAATTTATCAATTGTCTCTTTTGTTTTTTTGAAACGGATTTCAATTTTATACCGTACGCTTTTTGATACTGCATTAACAAAACTATATATTTTAATGTAATTATAAGACTATAAATTTTCTATTAAAATTTTTAAAAATATATTAGTAGAAGGATGCACCATAAAAAATTGTTTATTAAAATGCGAATGAAACGATTCGCAATAATCTATGCACTGCTATCTAATGACAATAAAAAAATAGTAAAAAGTTCGATTAAATGAATAGTAGATAATTATTACCGGGATATTTTTGCAAATATTTTAATCAGTGGTTCTCAAGCTTCTATTTATAGACAGGTTTAAACTATCGGTTTGGCGGAAACGATACAGTTAATTTTGGCTGAAAAGATGAACGCCCCTAAAACGAAACAGGTTGATATGTCTCAAGTGTAAAATAGGTTGCTTTGAAATTTCCTTTTTGTAACATTGTACAAGCGAGGGCATCGACAAATAACCTGTCATCAATAGTATTATATGTATATTTTGTAGTTTTATGTTTCATGTTAAATGTAATCCTCTATTTAATTGTACTGTAGATAATAATCATTATATATATATATATAAATTGTGATATTGCTTATAGTCAAACATCTAGTGTGGAGATAATAGTTACTTTAATGAAAGATTCAAGAAAATAAGAGTTAAATATAAATTTTGCTCTAACTCTGAATTTAGTTCTGTTTGAAAATATCCTGATAGTGGTTTACAATAGAAAAACTGTATGAATAATTTTATTAAGGAAATGGAAGAAAAAAAAGTAAAA